GTATAATGAATGTATCACGTGGAGAATTTCCATAGGAATTAATTAAAAATTACCAAATCAATTGTAAAGTCAAAATTTTCTCTTTGATGTTAAAATAATTCTCTTTGTGTTTTCATTAAAACTTTCCTAGCAAATGTAATCTTTAACCTAAAGTATTTCTGTCGCAGTTTCAAGTGTTTAACAAATACATACTGATCAAAACTCAATTATAATTATCAGTTTATTGTAATTGTATTCTTACATATTCTTGTTACTGTCTATGTTTCAATGTATTATCACAAAACTTTGTAATAGTGTAACAAAGATCGACTCGAATCAAATTGAAACTCTATAGAAAATGTAAAAGGTGACAGATGTAGATTCAGTCGAGATGTGAAAATTTTAAGATATGTTCTAATTCTAATTGAATACATGTAGTTGCACTAATGAAAACGATTCAAATTAAACGATGAATATCATCAACTCTAGTACAAATTTACTAGATCAAGACAGAATAGTGAATGGAACAAAGATCTTTTTCACGCTGTTTCCATAGTCGTTTTGCTCTTGGTAATGTTTTAAATCTTACCATTTCATATTTGTTCTTTAATTATGATACATATACAAATAAAGAAATGCTCATACTTGATCAATTTAATATCGTTTATGTTAATTTTATTTAGAGTCGAAGAACGATGAAAGTTAGAAGAAAAAGTTAATTAGTTTAAGAAATGGAAGTAGGATTGAAAAAAAATGTTTTTACAGATTTTGACATTCAATTTTGATTTTGTCATCCAAGTTATCTGATATCAAATCATGATAAAAAAGCACATGGAAATTAGAGGCGAAAATTCTAATAACGACAAATATTTTCAAACTGTTTTTCTATGTTGTTATAGTCATATTAGTCTTTTGAAAAGTATAAGATTTTCAGGACGATTGACAACGTACGAATCAGAACATTAGAGTGAAACAGCTTAGAAAACTGTTATTGCTCATCGAAAATATTTTAAACTTTTAGAATTAACTCTAGTATCATGGTGGCAGTTATCAAACAACAAGTATCTGGTAATCAACACCAGATAATTTACGTTATTTAATCATTGATTTTGATAATAATCTTCTAATTATTGAAGATATTTTAAAATTTTTTGATATAAAAAATATTCCACAATTAATTGCTTGTACAAGTAGTGCAGGAGTCAAACATTTTTTTTGAAATTTCACCTGATTTTGATTATACATATTTAAGTATACGTTTAAGGGTACAATTAAAATTATTACAAGACAAAAGAATTCATCACTTTATTTACGAACAAATTCTAGTATGAAAAAATAATTGATTTAACATTATATCCTGTGCTTATAGATCATCAAGTCAATATTAACGGGAGAATAAGTCATTATTATAAACATGAACGACGTTGACCTACCGGTTTCCTGAAATGCTACCGAGCATTTCGGGTGTCAGACTAACCAGTTACATTTTCTTAAGGCTAGCTCATATATTATTTTGTAGCTCGTGAAATTCTCGATCGAACGGTGTATAACAGTTGATTTTTGCTCTGAGTGAGACAGGTTGAATAATGTAAAAGCTTTGACTAAACATCATTTAACGCGAGAAGAGTTTTTTTTTGCTAAAAGGTTTCCAGGAGTGCTGAGAAGGATTTTTAAGATTTAAAAACATATTAGCGTTAATCGTGGACAAAAACTACATCAGACCCGTGAATATGAGATTGATTTGAGAGGGGCCGATTTTGCCTCTTATCGTCCCCCGTCCTTTGGGAATTCTGCAGTTTTCGGAATGACTATGACTGACTGGATACCACCATCTTTTGTTTCTTGTTTAAACATTTTTATTTACGAAATAATAGTAAAAAAATAAATACGACAACAAAAAGAAACACATACGGCAAATCGGGATACCCCATCCTATGACAGATTCTACATGAACACTACTACAGTCTCTCTTCTCTATATACTCATTTTATTCTACAGTGTTGGAAAGTGAAAGAGAAATGGGAATCGACTTCTAAGACCCGCTCCATCCATGTGACATCCTGCTCATGGAGTCTTAGTACATCATGACTGACTGAATATTCCGATGGTATCAATAAAGTAGATGATGGCTGTGTACACTCGTATTAGGTCTTGTTGAGGCAGTACTCGAATAGATTCATGTTTTAAAAGTATATGCTCCAACGTAATACGATTATCTTTGAGGACAACACGCAGCTCCTCAAACATTAGATTACGAGACTCGTCATAAAGAGTACAGTCCATGAAAAAGTGTGCAGTAAGTCTCTCTGCTAAAGCCACATGTACACGCCGATGACTTTTCTAATTCACCTGGTAAAGGGATAGTCATTCAGTTAGGGATTATCAACTCTACATCGCGTGTGATGTATTTCCAACCGCCGATCATACATTAACGGTAAACGAAAGGACAGAATATCTTGTAAGACTAATCTGAGTTTGAAATCAGTCAGTTTATGTATTGAAGTCAATCATTAGGTAGAAGATTCCATGCACGAATACTCTCCCAAATTTCACCATCTTTTCCTTTATAAAGAAGCGAAAAAATATATGTGATTACTACAAATATATTAAAATATACTGAATAGACTCTTGACTTAATGTTTTTATCATCGATATTAGATTTTAACTATTATTCTCTATAAGACTATACTTACTATTCATTCTTATTTTTTTTATTGTTGATATTATATTTTACAGGTACATTTATACGGATCTATAACGTTATTTATTCGATACTGTCTAAATTTATTTTTATTACGAAAAAGCTTTAAGAAAACAACAAATAAACAAATACATGAGCCATTCTCTAGAAGAGCATCTTACTTAACTACAACGATTTATAACTAATTATTTATAACTCTTTGATTATAAATGCATTTATAAACATTTTTCTACTTATTCAATAGTCAAAAATAAAATAAATTAAAAATCATTTTATAAATCACCGTATTTTAAAACTCTTCAGTGCTAGTCCATATCCGTTGACTTGTTTATGGGTTCTTTTTTCAACAAGTTCATAGAATACACTTCGAAATGCCTTTCCCATTAGTTTTTCGATTCTCGCACTTGTAGTGTCAAAAATGTATAAAATCAACATTCACGATAAAAACCTATCATTTTCAGCATAACTACACGTATGTGAGGAATAAAGGTTCGTTGATGTTGAAGTGACTAGTTCATCTTATCAAAATATTTGCTTGTTGTTGTAGTTGTAGTTGTGATTGTTGTTTTCATTTGAATAATCGTCTTCTTTCCACTAACATAGGGACTATTTTGAATAAAAAATCTCCATTGTTTCTTTACGCTTTCCTCTCCTGAACTATCAATTCCAACTCGTGTGGATGTACCAATTTGATCATCATTCAATATTAAATGATCACTTTCAAACCAAAGATCAATGTTATCACTATCCATATGTTTTTGATTATGATCCGTTTTTGTAATACCCATTGCTGAACACATACAACATGGACCTTTACATAATAAATCATTTTTTGTTGCCCACAAAGGAGTAGAGTTCTTTTTCTTATCTTCATCATTTTTACGTTTTCGTTCTAAACTTGTTTTTAACCGATTTCGTTTCATTTGTTCGATGCCTTCTAATGGTTCCAATGCTCGAATCAAAACCGCTGTACCCTCTCCTTGTGTCGATATATTCAAACAACATTGTCGTCCATGAATATAATAAACATAATACGTTCCAGGACACATATACATTGCTTCATTTCGTACAGTTTTTTTACCTACAATAGAAAACATACCGTCCTTATGAGTCAACAATTAAAATACAATATATTACCATTGTATGAATGTGATGCCTTGTCTGTACCACCAGGATACGCTTCTACTTCTACGATTCTTCCTTTCAATAGAGTCGTTTCCTGTGTTTCACTATCAAAATATCGTCGTACAAGAATTTTTCCTAGAATTTCTCGACACACTTTCAAGTAATCAGTACTGAAAAATGACTTAGTCAATCGGATACATGGATTTAAACATATCTTTTTACTCATTTGTTCTTCGTTCTCACCACTTGATGATAGAGAATTTGTTACCGATGGAGATATAACGTCTTGTTTTTGTCGTCGTTTTGTCATCAAAATAAAATGAAATGTGAAACTAAATGATAAGAAATGACGATTGGTTCAAGTACTAGCGTGAAGGTAATCACATTATAAGAGAAAAAACTTTCCAAGAAAGTATTTTGTTTCACTACTTTCGTAGAATCCATCAAGTTGTATTTAACTAGTCTTCGCTATATCGTCGAAAACTCCCGAAAAATGTTATCTTTTACAATGCACTGTAACCTAATTATGGACATGGAAAAAGCAAACTTTCGAATAATTCCGTTTATTTTGTGCACTACGACATCCAAACAGGATCAGATCGCTGTTGTGTATGAAAACGATTTCATACGGATATTCACATTGTCATCATGCAGAACAAATCAAACTACGTTTAGTCTGAGATGGTTAACTCATTCGAATCGATTATTCGTCTTCAAAGCAGGCGACACTTCAGGCTAATTAACCCCATCAAGAAAACAAAACATATTTTTACTATAAATTTTAAAACTAGTGGCATGTTTTTCTAACATTCCATTAGAATGTTACATTAAACAAAAATTTTCAAACTCATTTTTATATGAAAAGATGCGTCAGAGATTAATGAGAAGACATCGCGAAATGTCACATCGCTTTTCAACCAAACCTGGTGACATTGAGCTGACCATGAACATTTAGCGCTTTTATTATAAATTCTATAACTTTGCAAAGAAAGATCGTGTAGAGCTAGAAAAAGTATCATTTTAATCAGAAATTTACGAGCTACAATCATGCCTCATTAACAAAGGTTTTGGTTACTGTTTAGAGTTTCTGAAAAACTAGTTTTCCTGAAAAACGCTCTCTGAAGGCTCCTGAGCAGCTACCCCTACGATATTCGAATTTAACATAGTTAATAACCTATAACCCATTAGGTTTGGCTGAATAAGCTATGTGACAATTCGCGAGGTCCCTTGTTAGCTTCAAAAAATTCGAGTCATGAACTCTATTATCTATTTTCATCCGTAAAAATGCAATTAAGACTGCTGCTTTATTTTTCATATGAAAAAACATATAAACTATGGCAATGGAAAGAAAAAACTAATCTATTGATATACCAGAGAGCATACGTGAACATTATTTTAGAAAAAAAGAGAAAAAGATAGTGAAAGAATTTAATTAAGACAGAATAAGATCCATACAGTACTTTATCAAATAGTTATCACTTTAAAAATGTATGAACAAAAAGAAAAGAAGATCAAATCGTAGAATGAGTCGACAATCGATTATTTGTATTTTGCTAGTCAAACAAGATGACAATATTGTTGTGTTTAGTTTCAACAAATTCATTATTAAGCATAAGTTTTCTTCTATGCATGTGATGTTTTATGGCTCATCATCCTTTGTGTATACAAGTAACTATCATCAACTATGCAAATGATATGAGTTCGATAAATAAGAATAACAAATTTTTGCAGTTTATTTGTTTTTGTTCTTTTGTATGTCAAATATATAAAATCATGCCATAAAATAATATAAACTAATCAATATGAATAGATAATGGAGAGCTAAACACAACCATGTGAAATATACAACTCAGTTAAAACTGTCCGTTAATCATCAACAAACAATCAAATTTTTATCAATCGCTGCGATTAGTACCACCAAATAATAAATCGATCATATCATGTTGTGTATACTGTGCTCTAATAAACGTCATCGTATTCTTCTGTATCAATAAAACTGTGCACGTACTAAATCATTACATTTGAACAAATTCTTCGTGATATTGTATGAAAACTGGAACGTGATAACATGAAAACATATTTGATCTAGAAGAGAATTATAGAATGAATCAGAACAAACAAAAATACCTGACAGTTTGAATAAAGAAAGAGATCAAGACAAGAAAAACGGTAACATGAAGAACAGAACAGAGACAATATCATGCAAGACTATAATAAAATCATCAACATTGACATGGAACATGGCCGAACAGGTGTGTCATCCGGTCAAAAAGTAGATTTTATTTTATTCTGTTATACCATGAAACTTGCGTCCACAAATAAGATACACTGACTACTACCAAAATGTGTTTCTAATATTATTTGTTGAAATCCTTATACTTTTTATATAAAAGTTTTCAGCTAACGCTAAAGCATTCCTAATTGTACACAAAAAGCATGAGAACGAGCTGACAAACTTTAGGATATACGACGGTATTTATGCTATTCTACAAATCATAATAAATTTACTAAAAAGTATTAGAATAATTGATAGCTTCCGCAAAGGATTTCTGAAAAACCGTTGGAAGAAGAGAAAAAAAATCTTTTTTCATTTATGTGATTACATAATTACATTTAGCAGAGAAAATTCACTATATCCTGAAGTTTCTAACTCGGTCTGATGCTTTTTATGTCAATTAGGAATGTTTCTTAACGTCAAATGTTACGAGAATAGCCTGAAAATTTCAATTTTCGTAAGATACAGGTTTCATTTTCGCTATGAAGATGTAAAAAGTTGGATCTACGATTATTTTGCACGCTCTGTACGATTAGCATATTTAAAATCTTTCAAATCTAACCTACAAACTGAATTATTTGGAGAAAGAGTATGCAGTGAGTTAGTCAAACAAGAAAATTGTCTAATCATCAAATAAGACAGATGATCTTCGCAAAAAGTCAATCAGTTTGAGTAGAGATTGTAGAGCTAATCCTTCAGAAAAAGAATCTAGAATCAGTCTGCCAGCCATTGATGTCTAAAATCCTTTGAATGCGAGAAACAAATTTGCTATACAAGGAGAGAAAAACTTTAAATTTAAAAAAACCCGTAAGATGAAAAAGTTTCGTCTTTTAAATTTAATAAAAAATTAAAAATATAAGATCTTCAAATACTCGACTTCTTAACTTAGACCTTTATGCATTTTTACACTTCGCTGATCTAGTGTCTTCACCTAGTATATGTTGCGATGAATTCCACCACAATGTTGGCAGAGAAAAGCGGCAATTCAAATGGCCAGTACAACAATATTAAAACATGAGCCAATATAATTGTCCTTTGTTTAGCCCATAAAGATCTAAGCAGATTCCATTCCATTTTGAAATGAGGACAAGCTTATTGAGAAATGCTAACTACCTATGACTGGCAGACTGAATGGAGATCTTGATTAGCAAGATCTTTTTGAATTTTGAAAGAATTTGAGACAATGACTACCCTAGTCGACTCTCCCCCTGAAAGTCCCCGGGGACTCCCCGAAAAATGCATAATCCCCGGGGACTCCCCAGGGAGTCCCCCTCCAAGTCCCTAAAAATGTGTACTCCCCGGGGAGTCCCTAGGGAGTCACCCTCATACTCCCCAGGGAGTCCCCAACATATACAATCCCCGGGGAGTCCCTGCCAACTCCCCATTCACCGTTTGTTTTGCAG